ACATAGTAGAAAAATACCACCTAATTTGTAAGCATGCGTCGTAGGTGGTTTGTAAGTCAGATGTTATGCATACACGAAGGATTCGATATATCTTACGGATTAGGCGTATCGTACCAATCATATCTAAAGACTACGCCGAGCCTTAAAGTGATTCTACTATGGCAATTTACTTAAAAGATGAAGGAGAGAGAAATAGGGACGCGATTCGTCGCAACGGCCAGCTCCGGAATAACGCCGTACCTCGGGAGGATCGGCCTTTGGCGTTCTGTTGTAGCGAGCCAAGTCCGCCCTCCTGGATATATACTTGCCGAATCCGGAGGGGATTTGCACGTCGCGGCAAGGAAAAACGTTGTTAAGCCAGCCCGACGTACTATCTATAAACATAGGACTCTTGCTGCCTGAGGTGGAAATTGATCGACTATCAATCACACTGCCTCTTCATCCGCATATACTCACATGCATAACGTGCTGACCACGGCCGGCACTTGGCATTCACTAGACCGGGGTTGGGCATGGATCGATAAGCAGGGGGGTACGAATCGTGAATCGTGATGGTGGTCAGGGGTTGTGGGGGGGTGTTTGGAGATGTGAGATGTGGGGGACGACGATAAACAGAAAGGGCTTCGAAATTTCTAAATTTCTAAATTTCAGACTCGACTACAATACGAAGCTCCGATGCTGCATGGTTGCAGAGACCTGACAATACGCCGCCGAAAGCACCGAAATAAGCAGTAGCCTTAACTGTAGGCCCGTCTTAAGCATTTTCTCGCGGGACATGATGAAACAGTCACATTCCGCCTTCTCCTCATGTCATGTGGGGGGAATGGAGTCTTATTCTGGGACCTTGCACTCGCGTCTGGCGACATTATCATGTCTTCTAAGTTCTAAATCATTCCAGCCGTGGACGTGGTCGAGACTCGATATAGGGTTGGTACAGTATATCACGTAGAATGCTTTGCATCTCGGAGATATCGAACTATCCTTGACCCCAATCAACCGCTCTTGGTTGGACAGTGGTGCTGACGGGGTCCCTGCTGGCCTACAGTGGTAGAATCAGTGAGAAGGCATGGAACTACCGATAAGGAAGGCCGTTGTTACTACATAGGTAGTATCGACAACATTCTTGGCAACTCATCCCCTCTAAACTCATCCAAGCTCGATCAAGCTCAAACAAGCTCATCCCGATGATCTAACTCGAGGCTCACTGTTGCTTGGCATTTGTCTACTACATGGCAGTCTTGGACAAAGCTTGGTCACCTCTACTATTCTGCTGCCATTGGTCACCTTAACACTACAAATGCTCCCCTAGCCAATTTCGCGGCACCTGAGTAAATCCGAACCCCTGGGTCTAAATCACTGCAATCTGGCAGCGCGCTCTTAGTTTGGGGTTACACTACCGGCTCTTAAATCATCTATTCTCTCACTAAAGAGACGGGAATGGGTTCTTCTCGCCGACGAATGGGAGACTTAAGCTTAACCAAGCTCTTTCCAGGAGGTGCAGCTGTGATCGGCACTCCTCATGCAGCCGGATTGGCCGACTTGGACAAGGGATACTGTCGCCTACTTGGGACCCTTACCCTACCTATCCATAATTCTCTTTCAACCTCACATGAGTAGTTCACATGCTACTGGCCGCTGGCAAGCCTGTCTAACAACCAAGTACTCCCCTTGGTAAAGATCAGCTATCATGGTTTCTATCATGACTTCGCATTCAATGTCCAACATACGGCTGCTCTCGCCGAGGAGCTGCCATGGACATTATAAAAAGACGGGTGCGTCTTCCAGTAGTGACCCATCTTCTCCTGCTATATTCCACACTCAAGAGAGCTTCGGTATTGAAAAGATATCGCCTCACATAACGCCGCAAAACTAAACCCAGACCTGCCACTATCACCCGTCCCTCAAAATGCGTACTACCACCGCTCTCGCTTTGCTGCCTTTGGCACTCGCTACACCTTCGAAGAGGGCTACTCCTGCCCTAGTTATCAAGCCTCGAGGTGCCCAGCTTGTCGATGGCAAGTACATTGTCAAGATGAAGGCCACTGTCAACACCGAATCTCTACAGAGCTCTATCCAAGCTATCTCCAGTGATGCCGACTTTGTGTACAACAACAATGATTTCAAGGGCTTCGCTTCCAGCCTGTCAGCTGAAGAGCTCAAGGCTCTGCAAGACAACGACGATGTAAGTCGAGAGAGGGAATATTCTTCTTCATGTCTGCTAGCATCCTAACCATTATTTTTTAGGTCGACTACATTGAGCAAGATGCTGTTGTTACTATCAAGGCTACCCAGGAGAATGCCGACTGGGGTCTCGCACGCCTGTCGAACTCCGAGGCTGGCAGCACCACTTACACCTACGACGACAGTGCTGGTGAAGGAACTTGTGCCTATATCGTTGACACTGGTATCGAAGTAGACCACGAGGTACGTAATCCGTGCAATTTCCCCCTAGATAAGAACGGCTGGCTAATTTCAGGCAGGAATTTGAGGGTCGTGCTACGTGGCTTGCTAACTATGCTGGCGACGGCGACGACACTGACGGCAACGGCCACGGCACACATGTTTCCGGGACTATTGGTTCCAAGACGTACGGAGTTGCTAAGAAGACCTCGCTCTTCGCCGTCAAGGTCCTCGACGCCAGTGGTTCGGGTACCAAGTACGTTATCTCCCCTATAAAACTTATCCGTAGCATGTGCACGTGAAAAGTTCTAAATGACTAACTAAAATCACAGCTCCGGTGTTATTGCTGGAATGGACTTTGTTGCCAAGGATGCCGCCGGGCAGACCTGCCCCAAGGGTGTTGTCGTGAACATGTCGCTCGGAGGCTCTACTTCGAGCGCCGTGAACGAGGCAGCTGCCAGCATTGTTAGTGCTGGTCTTTTCCTTGCCGTCGCCGCTGGTAACGAAGCCGCGGACGCGTCTACCTCGTCCCCGGCTTCGGAGACGTCTGCTTGCACCGTCGGCGCTACTACCAAGGATGACGAATTTGCCGAATACTCCAACTACGGTAGCCTTGTCGATGTTCTCGCCCCCGGTACCGATATTGAATCGACATGGATCGGCGGAACCACGAACACGATCTCTGGCACTTCTATGGCCTCTCCTCACATTGCCGGTCTTGGTGCCTACTACCTTGGACTTGACGCCTCACCCGTGGCTGACCTGTGCGACTACATCGCAAATGCAGCTCTCTCCGGTGCTATCTCGGGCGTACCTAGCGGTACTGCCAACTCGCTCGCCAACAACGGCGAGTCTTCTTAAAGTATGATGACTATGACGGTGATTACTATGTCATAGGATCTAGTTAGGATATATTTGGTGGAACTACATAGATCATTTTATCTTGTAGCACGGTTTCGGAGGCATGCCTTGAAGAATCTTGTATATATATCGAGGTTGTTGTCAGTGCATATGTTACTTCGGTAGTTAATCAACTATAATACTCAGACAGTCTTGCTGTATTTCACCCTCCGTACCTATCTACCTAAATGACTAGGTAAGTAATACAGAATAGCTTATAATAACGGAGGGGTTGGATAGATGGGTTGATTCATCCAGAAAACGGCGGACGTGAGCAATACCAGGGTAGCAAAAAGGGCCGTTTAACAGACCAATGCGGGATGCCGCGAGTACATCACAATATCCTGATTCATAAACAAAGAGTCTTCTTCGTCATTATAGTTGTTAGCTATGAATATCCTAGGAATATGTTACGAACCCCTATTCAAGGAATCTGCTCATTTACCCACCTAGTAGTTAAAGACTCACTACGTGGCAGGTACTCAGCTTATGAGAACATCATTAAGTTATAAAGATCTAGATTAGATGACGAGGTGTTAAGTGTAATTAAATAAAGGTACACAGAGTATTCTTCATATCTGCTATTTAGGTTCTAGTAGCTATTGAAATATGTATTGAACCGGTGCGGATGAAGAATCGGGTCAGATTGTCGTGCAATTTGGACGATTTGCTTTAACGACTAGTTTTCTTTTTTTCGCTTTTATTCTAATCATATTCCGGGTACTATCCTTATCTTGTGTTTGCCCATGTAACTATGAACCTGTATCCAGGTGGTGATATTTCTAGCAGCCAGCATAATTTATCTATGGATTTAAGGAGATGACCTCCTGTTTGATATAACAAGGGACTCCTCGTCCCAAGCGAAGTGAGTAATTGGTCTATCAATGTCCCCTCGAGGCTATTAGTCAATTGGAACTAAAATACAAAGAGTCTATGTGCGATCATATCACGCATGTCACTATACATGTTTCGGCGTTGCCTTTTAGATATGAAGGCTTGATATAACAGGCACTGTTATCTTAAGTTCAACCGTGAAACTTGTACTCAGTGGATCACCTCCATCAATACAGATCCTTTTCACTACGCTGCAGCCGCAAATTTACATCTCAGCGTCACATTTTTCGTTAAAGCTCTAGCACACCGTAGTCCGATTCTTCGTGGTTGTATAATATAGCAGAGGCAATCTCCTAAGAGCGAAAGGGGGAATCAATGTGAGGCGATTGCCGATAATCATCTCTCATGGTATTTTCCCGCAATCAAGAGCCTGGACCTGCACGAACATTTAATAAGTATCGTTGACTAGCTCTCCTAGGGCTCGGAGGATACACATATTATCTGCACATTCCAATGTATCGGACCTTGTTTTCATACTTGAATCGAAGCTGATACGTATTGTTATAAGTTTCGACCAAGCCGACTTTCGTTTTTCATCCATCCTAACATGATGGCAAGAAAGTTGAAGCAAATTATTGTGATATTAACTAGAAGTATTATATAATAGTGTCTTTGGAATGAGCAGAATGAGTAGGTAAGCTATTTTCTAAGTGGAAGTTGGCAGTCTAAACTAGGCGATAGTGGGGTAGTGAGTTATTATTGGTGGATTGAGAATAGAAAATTATGCGACATAGAGCAATATATAAAATAATTTATGTAAAGTTTCAATCATGCAGGCTTGTCCAATAGCCGTGCAAAATTTTCCCGGTGGCTTCGTATAGTGGTGAGTACAACACGTTGTGGTTAGTTACAAAGACAATACCATACTTGTACCGTGTAAACCTGGGTTCGATTCCCAGAGCCGCCAATCTTTTTAATGTTCGTCTTATCTTGGATATTTTATTGGTCTATGTATGTTTCCTAAACTTTTTGAAAAGGCTTGCCTCATTTTATTATGCCGCAGGTGATCTTTCGTGTGTACAGCTAAGATGACTTAAAGCTCGACAATCGTGTTTTAGAAGTGGTATTATATTGATATCATCCGGATAGAAATGTTAACGATACCACGACATGACATGGTGATCATAAAATGCTTCATGTTTTACATAGTCATCGATTCGGATATCCGATGTATATAAAATAATTGGCTTTCGTCGATGCTATATCATTATTTTCTTGTTTTAAAGTTGCTTAATGATACCTAACAATCATAGTCAATATTGTTATATATGTTCACTTGCCTTAGTAGAATAATTGTACAAGTCTGGCCTCGTGGCGCAACGGTAGCGCGTTCGACTCCAGATCGAAAGGTTATCCGTTGTGAGTAATCTTTTGAATTTGTCACATATCCCTTTCTAACAAGAATCTAGCAAATCGGGTCAGGGTCAATTTCATTTGATTTTTTTCTTCTTATCATGACCTAGTTTTACTACTAGGTTAATCGTCTTAAGCAAATCTAAACAAGTGTAGTAGGTAGGTAATTGTTTTTAAATATAGCAAGCTTTTAGTTCGGATCTACCTACTTACCTACCTGCTTGCCTACCTACCCCTTTAACATTTTTCAATTCACAGATCGCGTGTTCTTAGCCACCTACGTCATTAATAAGCTTGATGTTGGCCATGTAGAAGTACAAGTGATTCCGTCACGGAACATCATGTTAACTACCTAACTACATAAATGTGTTGGATTAAATTTTATGAGCATACTTAGGTAATTTTTCTTAATGCTTTGTATACTTCTTACTTGAGTTATAGGTTAAAGACGACGTTAAGTGGAATATATGCCGAGCCAATTTTCTAACCCGCTGTTGATATTAATCATCTAGCGTAGGATTCTTTACCTACCTAAGTAGGCATGAACTAATCTGCAAATAGCTTCATTTATGTTGACCTGCTTTATTAAGCTCGTAATCCTCTTACCGATGTCAACCCGGGTCCCCGGGTCGCCCGTTCACTAGACTAATTTGAACCATGTTGGACTTTATGCAGATGTTGTTATTCATACATAACATGAATTACCTAGTCGAATATTTAACATGAGCATTGATTGATAATCGCGAAATATATAGTAAGATCTCCCAATGTTTTTAAATGGCATGTTGATAACATTTGTCGAGTTTCCTGAGTTTCAAAAGCTAGATGCTTAATATTCGTCATCGACGCAATTCGTCATCTCGGAGCCTGTGAACTTTCATCAACTATTGCAACGTTTATATGTCGCTCAGCTCGGGCTGACGTGCCGATCAATAAGGTGAGGTAGGCCATTTTTCGTAGGGATAACCCGTTTTTCCGGTTGTCCTTGTTAAAGCATTATCAATACTTCGTATTGATTGGTAGGATTGTACTGTACATATAAAATCAAGGCACAATCTAGACCCGTGTGTTTGGGAGCAGATAGCAAGTGACCTTCCGGAAACGTCTAAGTTAAAGATTGCGCGACTTCGAGGAGAACAGACGAGAGCTGACCGGAAAAGACGTTTATACTACCTTACATATTACCATAGGCAGGTACGCGATTAATGTAATTTCCGGCCTGCTGTAACCGAGATCTCCAATTGGGTATGGGGATGCGGGTGGACCACGATTTTGGCCTGCCGGGCTGTTGATCCTTGCTCCCGGTCAGCTTACAATACCAGGTAGTTATGTAGGTACGAGATAGCGTGTTGTCGTACATTAATATAAAGTGTTGCGAGCATCGTCCTGGGAGATTCCCCCTCCAGGAACCTTCTTGCTTGCTTTGCCCGTCTCGTTGGATTCTAGCTTGATAGATCTCCCTAGGCCGAAGTGCTCTCAAGTATGGTCGGCTTCACAGTTGTTTTCTCGGCGCTTCTCGCTGCCCAGGGTGCGTTTGCGAACCCCGTGGGGTCACGCACGCCGTACCGCGTCAAGGATACGCACCACGTTCCTAGAGCTTGGAAGCGAGTCCGCCGCGCGCCTGCTGATCATATCATCGATCTCCAGATCGGTGTTAAGCAGAGCAATTTCGCGGAACTGGAAAGACATCTATATGAAGGTACGAGAAGCGACAATGCGTCACTCACTATATTTAAGAAATGAGAGTTAGGCAACTAATCGTAGACGTCCAGTTTCGGATCCGGATCACCCGCGCTACGGCCAGCATCTTAGTGCTGGTGACGTGAAGGAGTTGGTCAAGCCGACGGACGAGACGCTAGATCTCGTTCACGAGTGGCTGCAGGCTAATGGGGTCACCCCTTCGGGATATAGCTCAGCTAAAGACTGGATTACCGTATCTCTTCCGGTGGGGACAATTGAACGTCTCCTAGATACCGAGTACCATCTTTATGAGCACAAGGATGGTGGTCTGGTCGCTAGGGCTCCTAAGTGGTCTCTTCCGCTTCATCTGCATGATCGGATTGACACGATCCAGCCTACCAACTCATTCTTCCGTGCTCGCGCAGAGAAGTTTGACCATATCGAAGCCCCCGTGTATATTGACCCTAAGTATACACCCCCTACCAACGAGACCCTGAATGCGGTCTGCAACGTCAGCTCCGTCACACCAGAATGTTTCCAGACTCTCTATTCGACTAAGGGTTACAAGACCCACGCCTGCGGCAAGAACAAGGTGGGCTTCAACAATTATCTTGGCGAGCATCCGATTCGAACAGACGCAGAACTATTCCTTGCCAAGTATCGACCCGAGGCAGTCTCAAGCGCAAAAGATTTCCCACAGATCACTCTCGCAAATGGACCTGGCGACTATGCTTTGACGCCTGAGGAAGCCGAGTCTGGAACTTCGAAAGAAGCGAACTTAGACATCCAGGCCATTGCTGGTATCAGCTGGAAGAGTACGTGATACTTGAGGTCCAACCTCCGAACCCCCGTAGCGCGAGCCGGAGTACCCGAAATTAGGTATCTTTAACTAACACATGTCCGCATAGCTCCAATCATCAGTTACTCGACTGGCGGAAGCCCGCCTTTCATCCCGTCTACGAGCACGCCCGATAACACCAACGAACCGTACCTAGTGTGGGTAAACTATCTCCTCGCCCAGGAGTCTTTCCCGCAAGTCATTAGGTATGTCTGAAATATTGAATTAATTCCCCCATCTTTTTTTTTCTTCTTCTTCTTTTTCGACGATGTTATATTTTAAACAGAGGCTAATGCGATAATAGTATGTGATATTCCGTCCCTATTTTCTTTTTGCCGTGAAGCAAAATGGGCCCCGTAAAATGACAATTTTGAGATCTCGCATAGGTGACTGACTAACTTGCTTACTATAGCGACTTCGTATGCCGATGACGAACAGACAGTTCCGGAGTCGTACGCTCGACGTGTGTGTCAGCAATTCGCGCAAGTGGGCGCGCGTGGCACTTCGCTGCTCTTCTCGAGCGGCGACAGCGGTGTTGGACCATACGGAGAGTGCATAAGCAACGACGGAAAGAACACGACTCAATTCCTTCCGGAATTTCCACCTAGCTGCCCCTACGTGACGGCAGTTGGCGCTACGAAGAACTTCGAGCCGGAAGTGGTGGCGTACCGGCCTGCGTTTGTTGGACCTGATGGCGTCTCACATGGCAACTACACGAGTGGCGGCGGGTTCAGCAATTACTTCACGGCGCCGGCGTACCAGGCAAAGCAGGCGAGCAGCTACGTGAAGAACCTAGACGGCCTTTATGATGGTCTATACAACAAGACGGGCCGCGGCTACCCGGATATCTCGGCGCAAGGACTCTACTTCGCTTATTTCTGGAACGGCACGGAGGGTACTATCAGCGGAACGAGTGCTAGCTGCCCCTTAACGGGTGGAATTATCTCGCTGGTGAACGACGCGCTCATCTCATCGGGCAAGCCGGCGCTGGGCTTCTTGAACCCGTGGCTGTACTCGAAAGGGTACAAGGGCCTGACTGACATCACAGGAGGTAGTGCTGTCGGGTGTGGTGTAGACGGATTCCCGGCGACTGAGGGATGGGATCCTGTTACTGGGCTCGGAACACCGGTCTTCCCTGAGCTCGTCGCATTGGCGGGCGGGAAGCTGTTTTATTAAAGAGGAAAACCCTCTGCTTCATAGTTACTTATGAGGATGTGATATCTTAGCTCAGAGATGTCATATTATATGATGTAGTGAATGAATTTATTAATAGAAAAGAAAAATTATCAATCCCTTAGCCCCTGAAATGAATTGATGAAATATGTATGTCGGTAGTATATATTATATATGTATGTATCCAATACGCTGCAGAAAAGTTTATTGGATTAGTAAATTACCTAAGACATATTCCGATATTTAGCCGCGGCTTGTCCGATAACAGTAGATCCAATTGGTACCCGCCTACCCACCTAGTTCATATTACTAGGTAGGTACGTGAACTTGTTGATGTCATTGCCCTTCAATGCCCTTCAGTGTTCTCAACTCAATACCAAGAACTTGATATATCTACTACCTATTAGTAGGTAGGTGCATCTTATCGGTCGAGTCTAAAATCATCATCAGTAATTTGGACCACCCTTCTCTTGCGTTAGGACTCTCTGTCTTAGTCTCTCAACCATGGGGTCTATTGTTCTACCCCATCTGAGCACCGGCTGGCATGTCGATCAAGCCATTCTATCGGAAACAGAGCGTGTTGTTGGTGAGTGAAGAATATTCTTTAGATGAACGAGTGGTTTATAAAGCAAGACACTAACTATGCAATTTTCTTTAACATAGCTATTCGCTTCGGTCGCGACCATGACCCCGAGTGCATGCGACAAGACGAAGTCCTATACCGTATCGCTGACAAAGTAAAAAATTTCTGCGTCATCTACGTTTGCGACATCGATCAGGTCCCCGACTTCAACCAGATGTACGGTAGGTAGCAGACACTTCAATATCCTCCCCACCCCTTCCCTTTCTAGTGTGAGCTGCTT